TTGATTGGGATTGACCCAATTTTTAGTCGAAGAAAAACATCGTCCGAATCCGTTGCTCTTTTGACATGCTTCAAAAATTCTTGAGAAAAGGGGTTTATCAAGCAATGGTAAAACGGTAATTACACCATCAGATAGCGCAGAAAAACTCTCTTCAGGATGTAATACTGAGTCGTAAGGGAGAATGAGTTTTTAATCAGCAATGAATGTACAAAAAATAGTAACACAAATCGCTGAGAACTTTCCGGACAACCTAATGGATCAGAGTAGGACTCGGCAGGACTGAACCCGAGCAGTGTGCGCTCAGTAAGCTGCTCCCTTTGCCGGCACATCACATCAGGGCATGCCGTACCTTAGGTATTCCCTAACGAGGGGGACGTACTTGCTTGCTAGAAGGGAGGGTAGTGCATTTGCTTCAACGAAAATGTTTTCGATTCGTGACTTTTCTTGGTTCTTCCTGCTTCAGTTGTGCCTCCTTCAAAGCCTCCCCTCCTAATCCCCGTTCGGCAAATCTTTGGGAGAAACGTGATAGCGTTTTTGGAAAAAATACTCCGAAACGTGTGGGAATTCGAGAGAATTCCGAAAGCTCTTGGACAGGATAGGAGATCAGCAGAGGGAAAATCGTATTTTGCAAAATTTTTCCTAACGGCAGTATATATTAAGAGGCATATTCAGAGCACTAAATCTATAATAAGTTTTATTTACAGCATAATATGACTTTGTACAATAGAACTCGAGCGACATCATAGACGAGTAGATACAGTAAAAACGAGGAGGAGAACGACAAGAACGGTGGAGTCCAAGAAGTGTGGAGTAGCCCTTCGGGGGAGCTAATTAAGTGAGATGGGAGAGATTCTGCATTACGGTGAGAGGAACAATGACGGCTCCTTCAGAAGTATGAACACAGCACAGTTCTACGAGGAGTTGATGATATGATGTGGACGATGAGGACGAGGATGAGGGAAAAGGAGTTGATATGACAATGGACGGGGACTGACTAGAAGCTCAACTGTGGTCCGAGAGAACACTAGGGACCAGGGTTGAGCCATTGCACTGAGTACACGACTATACAATAGTTACCATATGAGTGACAAGCACGAGTTCAAGCACTCGAGCTCAGTATAAACCGTCGTGAATGTGTTTTTTCATGGCTTGGAAGGTAGTTTGGCGAAAGCGACCGGTTACAGAATGACCGGCACCAGAAGGAACAAAAATTTCAAAACAGTTAAGAAATAAGAGTAAAATCGATATCAATCAATAAGTCAGTTCTCTAGAATCTGACTCTGGAGTCTGTTGAAGTTGTGCATTCGCGGCCAAGTCCAACACTGCCATCCATCGAAGTTGATTCTGCTCGTCCTCGACGGTGACGGTGTACATCCTGCGGGAACCCACTCGAAGTGAGAACGTGAATCCGTTCACCACAGAGCTTGACCTCACAACCAGGCAACGGCAACATCGCCAACGCACAATCGTCCTGAAACTGCGGAGACATTTTGTCAGAACACAGCGGTGAAGTCCACGCTGATCGCGTGGGCAGAGTCAGCCCTATGGCTTCCTTTTCGGTGCTCTTATTCCCCTTCTTCGACACGGTAAGGGAAGCAGCATCAGATGAAGGAGGTGCAAATGGTACACATTGATTAGAGTGGAATGTGCTCTTGATGCGACCACCGATCATGACTAGCAGCTGTAGTAAAAATTTCAACAACTCACATCGGCGGAATTGTAGGAGTACAGGCAGAAATCGTTGCGGACGACGAAGTACCGCTCGAAGGTCTTGCCTAGAGATCCTCGGAACTGAAAATAGGAAAGATTAGAAGTCACTCAGATGAGTATCAGGCGCTGTTTAGCTTGGAGGGGGTATTTTGCATGATCGCTAGTTTCTTTTGTTGATACATGTTGAATAGCAGGGCCCACTGAAGTGATACCTGTAAACTCCTCTGAAGCAGCGGAGTGGTATCAATGAGTCGCAGGTCTTCATAAAGTGGCCGCTAAAAGTCGAGCTGAGAACCATTCGGTGCCCCCACCAAGCCGAACGGCGCCCCATATTATAGTTGAACGCATTGGAAAAGCTAAAGTTGAAGTGGTCGATGTTGGTCGTGTGGGCGGGTCCAGGCGTACCGTTATTTCTCCTTCATTGGCGCGCCTCTTTATCGTTTTTGAAGAAGAGACGCAACAATGAGGAAGACACAATGGTAGGCCTGATACCACCGTATGGCCAGCGTGGAATGAGCCCTTAGCTGCAAAATGTTGGCGATTATCGATTCCAATGGGACACGCCATGCATCAAACTCCAACTTGAAATCGCGCAAGCAATTGACTGCATAGATTATGTTCACATGGAACTAAAGTGGCGAGATCTGCCACATACTATCAAACTTTGCGGTTTCACTTCACCCCAGCGTCTTGTTAAGGATGAAAATTTGCTATTCAGTTTTACTGACTTACCTTTACCCTACTGGCATGCAGTATTCCTTTTCCTTGGGCTGGTACTGCCAAAACATTTGTTCGCCCGTTTGACTGAGCTGATGCCGAACGACGAATCGACTCAAAGCCCTGGAATCACGTCCTCTGAGAGTGTCCTTTTGGAAATTTTTTTCAAGTTCAGTAGGTCTCTGACCAGAACTTGTACAAAACTACCACTACTGTTCTCGAAAAATTCTTCTGATTATCGTGACTCACCATGTTCTTCACGCACGGTTCACAGATTCGATTATTCTTGCTCTCTGTTCGGTACCTTCCAAAACACTTTTTACAGAGCTTTCGTCGACATTTGCCACATTTCACACCACGATAGAATAGGCTGAAAGAAATTCGTAGCACCACAAGAAAAAAGGCGGAGCGAGAATCCCACCTAAACTCAGCGTCACAGTCAGCACAATTCCGGCTTTCACAGTGGTTGTTGTTCGTTTCCGAGAGCGAGGCCTTCTGTAGAAAAATTCTCTATGAAAATCAGAAAGCGTACAACTGCCAAGTACTATTTACAAATCCATTAGGGCGTGGAGAGGGCCCGACACTGGGCGAGACTGGACACCCTATTTTCTGCTCGTCTGCGTTCTCACTGGGATCAATCAAACCAGCTCATCGGATACTATCTGTTTAAGAGAGCGCAAGCGAAAAGAAACTTTGCGCGCCCTAGTCTCACTGTCGACTGCCATTTGCCAACTGCCTCAGAGTGCATTCATACTTCACGATTTAGCCGCTCTCATTACACGACCAAATTACTCGCGCAAAATCGCGAAGTATGAACGGGCTCTCACAGCTCTGCTGTAATCTACCTTGAAAACTCACCACTCCTGCACCAAACGTAGCCGAATTGGCTCGACAATCTTCGATCACTGCACATATGCTCTCTACCCACTCGTTCTTTTCCTTTTGAGTCTCTGAAAACAAAGCTCAGAAATCGAAAAAATCGCTTGAATATTTTACTGTTACAAGGATTCGCAAGTGCCGCATAGCAGTGGCGGACCGAACTTTGCTGGCGATATCGTGACTGACCTGAGAAAAGTTCAACACATCGTTGCGGACCGTTGCCATCGGAACCTCTGATGTAAAATGAATGTTCTCTCTCAAGATTGTCTCCTTCGCATATCTTGAACAAGAATACGATAGGGTTACGGTATCCTGAGTGTCACAAAATGAATTCCACCTGACCTGTGTGTGACATGCATGGAAAACGGCTCGTAGACGATATTTATAGAGACCAATCATTTTTCGTTCACCGGCCAACAGAATAAGATCGTTGAAGAGGAAAATCGTTCGTTCCTCAGTTTTTTCCGTGGTCGATGAGATTTTCTGAAAATTAGAAATCAAGAGGGCGATATTGATGATTATGACCTGAATTAACTCCTGAAGTAAGTCATTCAAAAAGGGAGGGTTGGCGGGACGCCAACCAGTTTTTGCCAGGTGCTGAGACGCGAAAGCGACTACAAGTAGTGGAGAACGGGCTGGCGCCGCGCTGAACCCAGTACCATCAGCAGCCTTTACAGAGAAAACGACTACACAGGAAATGGTACTGAATAAGGCTTAGCCTCCAGTTCTTCGAAATGTTCTAGAAATGATAGCTTAAGATTGCTTCGTATGGTTAGAGGTTTTCATGGTTCCCGAGATAGAAAAGCACAAATCTGTCAGTACCTGTAGCGTGCCGGTTTTGAGCAGCTCTCGGCCAGGTGACACTAGTGATATCGAGTTTCCTAGCTGCTCTTGTACTTCAATCACTTTTCCGAAACCATCCTGGAAGGAAGTACGACTATACAGGGAATCAACAGTACAGGTGCGGTGTCAAGTGCTGTGACTAAGCCTAAGGACACAGCTCGCTTTCGAGCTGTATCCCTGGCTTTGTTTCCCTTTCTAGGAATGGAGGTAGCGATTGTGGTCATCATTGCGCATTATTTAATTGAAAGGAGAGTTGCTGTGAGCACTCCCAAGGAAAACTCGACTGAATTGGGCCAGAAGGATTCCCTGGAGTTTTCGAAGCGACATTTTGAATATGAAAAACGAGTAAGACTGACCAGCTTCTTCATCATCTCATTCGCATGAGATGCGGCTTGAAGAACCAGCTGAAGAGCAAGGGCTGTGTCCTCGTAGTCGACATCTGATTCCAGCAGGTGTTTCTTGTATTCCTGGAAGAAGGCTAAGCTTCAATACAGTAATACTCCTCCCTCTATAGAAAGAGGCAACATCTTAATATCAGGTAACGTCATAGTCAGGTTACATTGCAGACCCCTAGAGAGTCACAGATTCCAGCCATTTTGAATGAGCCGACTGATTCCTTGGGAACATGTCGCCCCTGCTTCAATCAGGAATCTCAGTGCTATAAGAACCGGGGCACATCCAGGGTACAGCATGGGGATGTGCGAAATGTCGGTGTGAGTACGACCCCCCCCCTTCGAATGGGGTCCAGGCACGACCCCCCTCCTCCGCCTCCACGGCTTCTTCGCCGACGGACGAGCGATGAGTATATAGTCGGCGAAA